CACTTGAGGAGTTCTAGATTGCGCATATTGACAGAGGAAAATGTTTGTTAATGAACTTAAATGCAAAATGTTTATATATTCTTTTAATAATTGACTTATTACATTTAAAGCTTAACTGATTACTTTAGTTGATGATTTTTTTCAATAATAAATTTATCTGATTAAGAATTTCAGCCCTAATTTTGAGCCAGTCAGCTTATTTAAGGGAACTTGGAGTTCAGATAATTCTTCTCATCATTGAAATTTAGTTCTCAGTTGAGTTTAGATTTTAAACACTATATTAAAGAGTTGTGTACCTCAAGTGAGCTGGAAGAGCTGACTGGGAATAAGCAAGACCACGAGTTATTAATCATTCTACAGCTGCCGTGAGCTGGTCATGGACTGACGGATTGATCGATGGATCCTTCTCCAGAATTCAGACTGGTGTGCGTAATTTGTTCCCTTTTTCTCCTGAATTTAATATTCTATCAATATTTGATATCCTATAAATGCTGTATTTACAATGCAGAGCCCAGGCAATCCATCAGTTTGGCATGTCTTTTATTATTTTTTGTTGTTTATGTTTGACATTGTTGTTTATGAACAAGTTTCCAACCTGCATGCTTGGCTTTATCATGCTCAATAAATAAATGTTTTTTAAAATTACTGAATTAATGAATTAATCATGAATTATTTAAAGCAATTTTAGATGAACAGATTTGGTGCAATAAAGTTTTATCTTTACTTCTCTACATAGAAGTAAAGATAAGAGGACAATGTAGCAAATGATTACTGTGTTAACAAGAAACATTGACACTGGAAGAGATAGTGAGAATTAATTGACTCTGTAAAGTTTGGTTTTCTTAAATTTATTCACATAAACAATTTATTACCTCACTGGAGAAAAAAAAAAAAAAGCTTGTCGAGCTGAAACAGAATATTAGTTTTCTGTAAAATTAGAAGGTACATAGGGCTAAGATCACCATGGCTTCAAAACTGTTTATAAGTTCCATTCAATACTTAATTACCAAGTGGAAATTAAATTTGTTACATTTATTTTACCCTAAGCTGTTGAAGATGATGATGGTTGTGGCGAGGAAGGTTCTTCTGTGGTGGTCAACAACAGGGACCTGAAGAAACCTCAACCCATTTTAGTCCTCAGAACAATCCAGCCTTCTTTATCAGTCGTTTTCCTTGCTTTTTCCCAAGTAACTGTGCTGCTACCACAAAAAAATGATGTTATGTTAAGACTGCCCCCTTCGCAACAGGCCTACAGTGTAGAAGCTAAGTAGCATCTTGGAGCAGACACTAAAGGACAAGAGATTTCTCAGTATGGATTGGCTTTGCCGTCTTGTCTTGTCTTGTCTTGCCTTGCCTTGTCTTGTCTTGTACTAATGCCATATGATAGTAACAGATGCTGAGAAATGACAAATGAGCCTTGAAAAAGCTGACCAAAAAGTATATTCATCGATAGCCACGGTTCTCCTCTTGCAGCAGATGGCTGCCTCAGGGCCCAAAATCACTACCGGCCCACCGGTCAATAGCCCCCTATGCCCCTCTGCCAGTCCACCGGTGGTGGGATTATAGACTCTTGTGATGCCCCTGTGGGGAGTGGCGGCCATGTGGTTAGGGCATAGGGCTTTGAATCCTGAGGTTGTGAGTGCAAACTCCCACAGACTGCCGCTCTGGGTCCCTGAGCAAGACCCTTAACTCTACACTGCTCCCCGGGCGCTGCACAGTGGCAGCCCACTGCTCCCTAAGGGAATGGGTTAAATGCAGAGAATTCATTTTGTTGCACTGTACTTGTAACAGTGGAATGACAATAAAGTTTAATTCTATTCTATTCTTCTGCTGATCACCTAATCAAAGTGTCTTGTGGCATTTCTCAAAAAGTAACTCTGGCCAAACTGTCTTAAATGCACTGGAAAAAACAGTACATGCAGTACATGGTGCATTTCTTAAGATTTCTCATATATATTATTTAAAGCCTTTCATTAATTGGAAAAATACCTTTTGGTGTCTTAGACAAACCCTTAAAAACACAGCTACCTGGCGTGACATCACAGGAAATTCAAAAGATATGAGTCAAGACATAAGGAAAAGAACTATGGAGTAATATTTCTCTAGTATTCAATCAATTTAGTGCAGATATAAACAGCATTGAGATATCAAGCCACCATTAAGGTCTTTAAAGGGCATATTTATAAGTTCAAGTACAGTAACACATGTGCATCAGCTCACTGTGAAGATGCTGAATCAGTCTGGTTGGGTGGGAGAAGGAAAAAAACAAGTTCTATGTAGAGATGAACTAAAATGATCTGATCAGGGAGGAAGAAGCCAGTTCTCCAAATCTAACACAATAACACAGATTACAAGTTGCTATAAACAGAGGGACACGTGTATGCTTTAGCATGGATAAACAAAAGCTGAATTATTTGATAATAACCACAATAGTTTCATTTGCAGAAGAAGAGGAAGGCCAAACAAGCATACGAACAGCTACCTAACCGAAGCACAGAGGGGGTTGTGGCATGGTGTGGTGGAACTTTGCTGTAGAAAGAAAGGGTGTGTTTCACAGTTAACATCATGAACAAAGACTATAATGAGGAAATAATGCATCAGCATCTCAAGGCGTCCAGTGGTCTGCATGAAAGGCAAAGGTACACCCTAAGCAAAACTGCTAGTTCACGACACTGCATGGATGACGAAAAGCCATACAGAGACAAAAAGTAACCAATTCCCCTAAGCCCTCATTTTTTTGGACTGTGAGAAGAAGAATACCTGGTAAGAACCCATCTATATATACGGATAACAGGCAGACCCAATGAGGAAAGACTCATTCTCAAGCAACACAACAATTTCTACATCCAGAGATGAAATATAAAAAAAAAAAAAAGATTAAAGTCAATTAGCCTTTTAAATACTGTTGCAGCTTCACAGATAGTATTTCTTGGTGAAGATTAATGTAAAAATACAGGTGCTGGTCATAAAATTAGAATATCATGAAAAAGTAGATTGATTTCAGTAATTACATTTAAAAAGTGAAACTTGTATATTATATTCATACATTACATACAAACTCATATATTTCAGATGTTTATTTTGTTTAATTTTGATGATTACAAATGACAACAAATGAAAATCTCAAATTCATCATATCAGAAAATTAGAATATTACTGAAGACCAATAAAAACAAAGGATTTATAGAAATGTTGGCCAACTGAAAAGTATGAACATGAAAAGTATGAGCATGTACAGCACTCAGTATTTAGTTGGGCCTCCTTTGGCCTGTATTACTGCAGCAATGCGGCGTGGCATGGAGTCGATCAGTCTGTGGCACTGCTCAGGTGTTATGATAGCCCAGGTTGCTCTAATAGTGGCTTTTAGCTCTTCTGAATTGTTGGGTCTGGTGTATTGCATCTTCTTCTTCACAATACCCCATAGATTTTCTATGGGGTTAAGGTCAGGAGAGTTTGCTGGCCAATTAAGAACAGGGATACCATGGTCCTTCAACCAGGTACTGGTAGCTTTGGCACTGTGTGCAGGTGCCAAGTCCTGTTGGAAAAAGAAATCTGCATCTCCAAAAAGTTGGTCAGCTGCAGGAAGCATGAAGTGCTCTAAAACTTCCTGGTATGTGGCTGCGTTGACCCTGGACCTCAGAAAACACAATGGACCAACACCAGCAGATGACATGGCACCCCAAACCATCACTGACTGTGGAAACTTTACACTGGACTTCAAGCAACGTGGATGAAGTGCCTCTCTTCTTTTCCTCCAGACTCTGGGACCTTGATTTCCAAAGGAAATGCAAAATTTACTTTCATCAGAGAACATGACTTTGGACCACTCACCAGCAGTCCAGTCCTGTTTCTCTTTAGCCCAGGCAAGACGCTTCTGACGCTGTCTGTGGTTCAAGAGTGGCTTGACACAAGGAATGCGACAGCAGAAACCCATGTCTTTCATACGTCTGTGTGTGGTGGTTCTTGAAGCACTCACTCCAGCTGCAGTCCACTCTTTGTGAATCTCCCCCACATTTTTGAAGGGGTTTTGTTTCACAATCCTCTCCAGGGTGCGGTTATCTCTCTTGCTTGTACACTTTTTTCGACCACATCTTTTCCTTCCCTTCGCCTCTCTATTAATGTGCTTGGACACTGAGCTCTGTGAACAGCCAGCCTCTTTAGCGATGACCTTTTGTGTCTTGCCCTCCTTGTGCAAGGTGTCGATGGTCGTCTTTTGGACAACTGTCAAGTCAGCAGTCTTCCCCATGATTGTGTAGCCTATAGAACTAGACTGAAAGACCATTTAAAGGCTTTTGCAGGTGGTTTGAGTTAATTAGCTGATTAGAGTGTGGCACCAGGGGCCATCAATTTTGAACCTTTTCACAATATTCTAATTTTCTGATATGATGAATTTGAGATTTTCATTTGTTGTCATTTGTAATCATCAAAATTAAACCAAATAAACATCTGAAATATATGAGTTTGTATGTAATGTATGAATATAATATACAAGTTTCACTTTTTAAATGGAATTACTGAAATCAATCTACTTTTTCATGATATTCTAATTTTATGACCAGCACCTGTATAGTGAGGTGAAATGTTGATGTCTTGCTTCCTGCAAACAATGGAAATAACTGCTATGAGACTCAAAAAAAAATTTGTGCAAGGTCTTTGAGCAAAATCATACACCATAATGCATTGTGAGAAAGTTGAGTTAAGCTGAATGTTTGAAAACGCTCACATGCTGATGCACAACTTTCCAGCAGGCAAAGCCTGAGGTTTGTGGTTTTAACTTTGCTGCCGCTGCATGTGACAGATCTGGCTGAGAGAAAAAAAACATTGCCCTGCATGAAAAAGGTTAATGTAGCGTCCACGGTTGAGTTGTCAGAACACCCCAGACATGCCATATACACTAAAAGCTGTTCCTTACGTTCTGATAGGCTACTGTCCTGCGGTGATGTCATAAATGCTTGCTTAAAATAAGGGCAACAGGCTCAGCTGCTTCAAAGTGTGTTTGAGGGCTGAAAGGACTGAGTACACACATGAGAACAAAGAGGAAGGAGCAAGACTGAGTGCCTGGGTAACACTTTCAATACCTCATTAAGAAGTGGAGCTTCTGAGAAAAGCGGTTCAAACATGTTGTGGATTTAAAAGACATGCAAGAATGAAATCTCTGGACTGAAGAAGGCAAAGCCTGGAGGTAAGAACATAAGGGCTGCAAGTCTGCTTTACATGCATGAGCTTCGCACACACTCTGTGTTCCCATTGGTGCATATCTATGCATTAAAACCTGACATCTACTCCGAGTAACACTGTTGCTAATTGAATGTTTTAAAACCTACATGACTTATAACTATAGCTAAACATTTTAGATTCTGTGACTTCTATTCCTATTTTTCTAAAATGGTAGCAAGACAGTAAAATGCTAAAACGAAGGAAAGTCAAAATTGTGCTCATAATCCAAACTTGCAGTCATAACACAAGGCTTGTATAATCCGGACAATAAAAAGGTTAAATAACTTGGTGTTAGAGAACTTTTCATAATGTGTTTATTCTACTGAGTACAGCAAAAGCTGGGGGCTAAATTGCTTATGAATGTTTTGCAAATTTGTGGCTGTTAGCTTTTTTTGTATAAAGGGTTGTGGGCACTTTCTTTGACACTTTGGTGAGTTGTCTGGCTTTGATCACAATTCTCAGAGCTGCATTTTAGTGACCTCTAGCATGGGAATGATCTGAATCTGCTGCAAGCTGTATTAATGCTGGTAACTGTTGTGACTATTATTGATCTGCTGCTGGGGGCAGCAAACTGTTCAAAAGTCACTGGTTTAAAGGGTAAAAGTAGAAACTGATAAAGACAATGAGAAAAACATAAAAATAATAAAATCAATAGTTTGACACGATCGTCTCTCATAGTCCGTTTCCCCGTAACAAATTAACTAAGATTGAAAGGGTTAAGTGAGCACAGGTAATGAAGTATTGTTTTTTTCTTTTTTTAATGGGTGGAGATACGTTTCCTGCTAATCCATCATTTTTCTGACATGAAATATTTTGTAAATAGAAATGTGTAAAGATGATATTGTTTTTTTGGTTGGTTTTTTTTTTTCATTTCATGACAAATTCTTAAAATAAACAGAAAAGGGTGACACCCAACAGAAATTGCCAGATTTTTTTTGACTTAGTTTGACTGATCTGTTTACACAGGAGAGCAGTTTTCTTAAAAAAAAAAAAAAAAAAAAAAAAAAAAACCTGTCATTCTCCACCCCTGCATTTTCAATATAAATATTCAGTACCTTTTCTTCCTGGCATGCTGTCGACCCGAGTAAACACACAGGAATCAATGCTTCTCCTTACAGATGCCATCAGATTGCGCTCCAAGTGTTTAGATTAGGTTGGAATATAGCCAGTTAACATTTTAAGCCAAGTGTGTAAGCACACAGAAGAACTGTATAACCAAACAAAGCATTAACAAGCATACTGCACATTAAAAAGATAAATAAACAGTTTAGTGTTAAACTGGCATGAAGAAATTACCCACTAAGGGCAGGTTTGTATTTGTAGCCACTCTTACTAACTCGACTACTAAGAAAAGGGGGGTCAATCCTCCTTAATAAAATCCAGATTCTTTAAACATCAGCTCACAAAATCTTTATGCATTTTATTCAAAAAGAAAATTACAACAAGAGTGAGTTCTCACTATTTCTGTTTGAAAACACAACAGTCAAACACGGTTATCATGTAATTCCAGGGTTTTCATTCAGAGGCCAGTATATTTCTGCTGGATCTTCCTCTGCTTGTGTCTGTGCTACATGAAAACTACCTCTCTACTTGGTTTATTCACATGCTGTAATAAGAGCTAATAGGTCCAGTTTAGAGAGCTGAATTATGCCGTTAGGTTAACAAGTATACTTTATGAGTAGTAATGTACAAAACACACTAAGTTGTCATCATGCACTTACCTTTCCAAATCATTCAAATTGATTGGATGAAAGATCTGCATAAATAGGCGGAATTTGCTCGAGACAGGTTCCTCATGTGAAAACAGTTTAACAGAGTTTAAAGTTCTCATAGTTAAAGTATTCACTAGTGTAAGATATATGTATTGTTTTTTTGTTTTTTTGTCTCTCATAAACTACTGTGTTATTACAACACAGTTACATATGTAGATCCATCCAACTCTACTGGTTCACCTGATATGGACTGCAACAACAACATGACCTGAAATTGCACAAAGAACCAAACTATTACAAAATCCTTACTTTACTCTTGTGTCAAACATTTGAACTTTAGTTGTAGGGAGGTTGCATCAGGGTGAGAGAAAATATCGGCCCTTAATATATGTTGATATAGGATCGCATCACACTGATATGAACTCTTTCCATTTGAGTTGTTTTAATTGGTAAAAACATTTTAAATAATTCTATTTCAATTCAGTTTATTTACATAGCACCAATTCACAACACGTCATCTCTAAGCACTTTACCATTCAACCAGATCATAGTTTTCTAAGAAAAAACAGTTGATTGCATCAACTTATTGACTGGAAGGCAATCCCTCACAACAAGCATGCTTGTACACTGGAAAAATGATCTAGAAATAAGTAAAAAAAATTCTTAGATTAAGTGTATTTACCCTTAATTTAGTACAGTAGGTAAATAAGATAGTTTGCCAATGGAATGAGTATTGTTACTCTTAAAATAAGATAACTAGATAATATGCCATTGAAATAAGACAATGCAATTGTGCTTTCTTATTTTAGGCGTACATTGTCTTGTTCCATTGGCAAAACGTCTCTCTTACCTCCTCAATCCAAGAACGAATGCACTTATTTTAAGAAAAAATTACTTGTCTAGATTTTGATTTTTTTTCCAGTAGAGCGACAGTGGAGAGGAAAAACTCCCTTTTAACAGGAAGAAACCTCCAGCAGAACCAGGCTCAGTGTGATCTGCTGAGGCCGACTGGGCTTCTAGGAGACAGAAGCAGAGACACAGAAAGAAGTGGAGAAACAAAAGGCAACTGTCAACCAGCTCAACTAAAAAGGTGTAGTGCTGGGCAAATAATTGCATTTACAATATAATCACAATTTAGAAAAAGTTTCAAATCACAGAGACTCTCAATTTTAGTAAAATTAATTTATCAAGACAAAGACAATTTCTAACTCCAGGCCTTTATGTGGCAGTAATTAATGTATAATTGGCCCCACACAGATGGAAGAGAAAGTTGCAGCTAGCATGCAGATCCATGCAGATAGTAGAGGCAAGAACTTTTTCACTGAAAGGTTACAGTAAAGTTCTGCATCAATGGATTCTTGAAAAGCAAGCTTTTAAGTGCATAAATAAACTGAAACCCTTGAAGGAAACATCTACAGGCTTATACTTGGTGCAAAGGAAAATCGCAATAAAATCGCAGTCACAATATTGGTTGATAATAATTGCAATTTAGATTTTTAGCCAAATCCTTCAGCCCTAATAAGGAGCTCTATCTGACAGTCTGTCAGGCTAACTTTTCTACAAACTCAATTAAAATAGCATCTGTCTTCTACAGTTACGCAAAACCATCACCAGTAATAACTTTAAAGAGTTCCAATAAAAAAGGTATCCGCCTAGCTCCTAGCTGGGCGGAGGGAGACATGCATCTGGCTGTTGTCAGGTTAGTAGGCCCTAGCTGTCTGAATGACGGCGCGCACTGATATGAACAGAGAGAAAATAGGACCAAGTGATAACGAGGTGTGACTTTTTCCACTACAATGTTTTTGGGATGCAAAAATATCGCTCTTTTGAACACATAATGTTTTGGGAAGAGAAACGTTTTATTTCGCTGGTTCTAAAAACCTGCCGGACTACTTTCGGCTTGACCAAAACTGGACGATAACTCTGCTCACAGGATGCTGCCAGGGGTAAGTCAGTGTGATTGCATGCCACTGGTGATGGGGATGCCATACAGATTCATGTCAAAAATACCGAACTATCCCTTTAAGGCCTTTTAACAGTCTCAAAGGTATTCACAAGAAATGGCTGAAGAATTTGAGTCCTGACCACAGATTACTTTTCTTAACTTTTTTTTTTTAAGTGAGAGAATACAACGGTCTCTGCAAAATCATATAACGTTTCTGGCAGTCAAACTGTTGATGAGGTCTGGACAGTTTCTAGTTGTAAAATCCCTCCTCTCCTCTTTTTTTTTTTTCTTTTTGCACCGACTCAGGAATGTGGATTGGCACACTTTCTTTACAAGACATTGTAGTTGGAAAATTCCAAAAAGTACATCAGGGTGGGAGAAAATATCGGCCTTTAATATATGTTGATATAGGATCGCATCACACTGATATTAACTCTTTCCATTTGAGTTGTTTTAATTGCTAAAACATTTAAAATTATTCTATTTCAATTCAGTTTATTTCTATAGCACCAATTCACAACGTGTCATCTCAAAGCACTTTACATATTCAACCAGGTCATAGCGTCAAATTGATGAAAAGTTTTCTATCTAAGAAAAACCAGTTGATTGCATCGACTCGTTGACTGGAAGGCAATCCCTCACACCACTAATGCTTGTAGCGACAGTGGAGAGGAAAAACTCCCTTTTAACATGAAGAAACCTCCAGCAGAACCAGCCATCCTCCGAGGCCGACTGGGCTTCAAGGAGACAGAAGCAGAGATACAGAAAGAAGTAGAGATACAAAAGGCAACTGTCAACAAGCTCAACTAATAAGGAGTAGTTTTAGGCAATTAATTGCATTTACAATAAACGCAATTTAGAAAAAAATGCAATTTTTAAATCACAAAGACTCTCGATTTTAGTCAAATTACATTTATCAAGACTAAGACAATTTCTAACTCTCTGCAAAATCATATAACGTTTCTGGCAGTCAAACTGTTGATGAGGTCTGGACAGTTTCTAGTTGTAAAATCCCTCCTCTCCTCTTTTTTTTTTTGCACCGACTCAGGAATGTGGATTGGCACATTTTCTTTACAAGATATGGTAGTTAGAAAATTCCAAAAAGTACGTATTGACTGAACAAAAACAGATTAAATCTGTAACAATCTTTTTTTTTGTTGGTTTGGTTTCTTATTTTTTTTTTTGTTTTTACATTCTGGTTGTTGCTTCAAATGGAAATCTGTGTTCCTAGATCTCTGACGAAGAACCGGTAACGCTTCTATAGGAGGAAGACACTGAGTTTGGAGGGCAAATAAAAGATGCAAATATGATAAACTTTATTGTATTGTCTTTTTACAAAAGAATGAAGGTGCTCCCAGGTCCTGTTGTGGTCCTTTCAAAAAAAAAAATTTGACTCACTTCTTTCTCCCATATCCTTAAAATGTTATCATCATTACCAACTTTGTTTTCTGTTGTTTGTTTGTACAGTGAATCATGGCCAATGCGACCTCTGTGACATCACCCATGAATCAGTCGCAGCCTGGCAATATCATCACCCCAGAATACAGTGATGTGGAGCTTGTATTTCTTGGCGTTGCTATGGCTATTCTTGTTGTAGCAATAGTTTTGGGTAAGTATCAAAAAATCCAGAATATGCACACACCTAAAACCTTTAAATATTGCATCAGACACAAAAATCATTGAAATAATTAAAATTTAAGCAACAGACGAAAAAAGCTAATAATTTCTACTCTGTAAAACAACCAGCTGCTGAATAAAGTTGAAAGTGTTTTTTTTATTTATTTTATTTATATACTACACATACATTTTCATATCTTTGAATTTTGAATGAATTTAGATCTGGAATTTAACCGTTCTCTTCTAATACCTCTTCTAATACGCTTAACTTTTCAACATCTGACTGCTTCCACTTCCGCTTTATTGAACAGCAACGTTCATGTTGTAGAACCGGTGCTTATGGAGTCTTAAACATCTTGGAATCAAATTTTTTTTGTGTTTCTCACTATGTATATTAGACTTTTCTACATTATCATCTTTACTGGGAGGTGTTTGTTGGCTTAGCCCAGTAATTCCTAGTTGACCGATGTTATCTGTTGATATTACAAATACACATGAAGTACTTTATTTACTAACAGATTGTGTGAAAACATAACATAAAACATTAAAAATAACAGATGATACCCCAGCAGGATTCAGTAATCATTCAGAACAACTTTGGATGATATAAGATGTGGAATTAATAAGAAGTATTTTTAATCCTTGCATAAAATTTGTCATTTTTAAAAAGTACTTTTATTCTGGCAAATTGTCCTTATTTTAAACCATGATCTGTAGAGTGAAAAGAAACTTTAACCCTTTATAGGGGACTCAGTGAAATGCTAAAATCAAAATTTCAAGCCAATAGTGTAATTGGAATTCAGGACAAAATTTTATTACCTTTGTAGCATAAAAAAATATGGATATTTTGATGGCAAAAGTAGTGTCAATGTAATAACAAGAAATGCCAACTTGCCCAAATATATTAAGAAAAATAACAAAATGCTTCTATAAGAAATTCATTAAAAACACTTAATGCTGATACTGGAATTTACATTTTTTAGTTTATAAATCTAAATATAATAGTCAACTAGGCTTGTTATTTTTTTTTTTACTTAACTTTCTACCTTTTTAACTTTTTTTCAACTTAATTTACAGTAGGTAATATATCATTTAAAGGCTCATTTAATTGGCAAAATAAAATGTACAGCCATGTAGCAGCATCTTTGCAAAATTGTTGGATATACTAGATCTTGTGCTTCTAGACCTCACTGACGGATGAGGACTCCATTTGTAAGGGGTATGCAAGTGATCAAAAACTGTAACTTGCCCTATAAAGGGTTAACATGTACTGAGCAAAACAAATGTTTGGGTGGCTTTAAGTTTCAGACAACGAATAAAGAAATGCACAATTAGAGGGGAGTTGTTTAGAAACCTTAATCTGCTGCTCACTCCTTGTATTGTTTGGTTTCTGCCTTGCTCTTATGGGGGCTGTTCGCTCCACAATGCCTTCACAGCACAAAATAAGCTGCACCTGGTTAGACTCTTTTTAATAGTTATATAAAGTCTTAAAGGTATAGTGGAGGATGTTCTTTTTTATGTTTTTTATGATATGTTTACATAAGGCTGTCTATCCCCCTTTTCACTTTGAGTCCTACATAGTGACATGAGTGACGCAAACAGCAACTGTTAAACAGAGCGTGCACAAGGATAAATGGACTCATGCACGCTCTTGCATGCATTTAATATGTCTTCCCTCACGGGCGTGGGTACAGGGTTGTGCATGTGCATTTTTTTTTAAAGGAGAGGGCGGGTCATTTCAATAATTCGCAAAAGGTGATTGACTGCAATTGATTTTATTTGGGCCACCAAGTTAAATGGGGCTGAAACTATTTTGAATTCTTTTTCGCAGACTTTATTTTCTTTAATCTAATATCCACCACTTTAAAACTCCATTGGAATAAATTGTGGTTGTAGCACAATAAAATTAAAAAAGTTCCAGGGGGGCGGGAACATTTTGCAAGGAGTTCTACTTCAAAGGAAAGAGAATAAGAAATAATATTTTGTTTGTGTGCAGGTAATGTGATGGTAATTACCGCCATCCTGCGCTTCCAGAGGCTCCAGACTATCACCAACCTCTTCATTGCCTCACTGGCTGTTGCTGATCTCATCATGGGTGTGATCGTGGTCCCTTTCAGCTCCAGTAACATCTTGCTGCAAAGCTGGAAGTTTGGAAACTTTATGTGTGACTTCTGGACGGCAACTGATGTGTTGTGTGTGACTGCCAGCATAGAAACACTGTGTGTGATTGCTCTGGACCGCTACCTCGCTATTACAAGGCCGCTCCGCTACACAACACTGCTCACCAGGTAAGACAGCTTTTAAAAGAAAAATATAGAATATTAATGGTAAATATTTCTGATTTTATGGAGCAAATGTTTAAAGTCTACATTTCAGCCAATGAAATACTTAAAAATAGTTTTAAGTCTGTTGACAAACATAGTTTGTTTGGGTGTGGCCAGAGGAGCAAGTTGATGGAAAATGTTAACCCATTAAAACCCATTAAGACCTGAGGCACTCTTTACAAATGCATGCAGTTGACCTTAACTATCCCGAGCCTATTAGGTTAAGCTTTGCCCTGGTAATTATTAACCCTTTTAACTCCCTGTTTAACGTAAAGGAGAAATCCCAAAGCTGGTTGACAATGGCATCTATTTACAGATTTATGCCACTCTAATGTTCCAAAGACTTGAGGTCATACAGCTCTGTTAGTTTTTATTCCTCCTTTGCCAAAGGCTTTAAGGGCCATTTGCTGAACGCTGAATACTCAAACAAAACAAATAAGCTGAGCCACGGTTTATGCAACGAATTTGTTGTTATCTTTTTAATTAAGGTATTAATAATCCGCTATGGGGTATTTTGTTTTTTTACAGAAATTGACTCGCAGGAGCTAAAACTAAGCTACCTAGGGAGCAGAGTGTTCTTGCAGACAAAATAAATTTTTTCTATCTTAATGAAAATATAAAAATACTTTTTTAACAAATTGTGCTAAATGTATTCTCTGATTTGGCTGTTTTTTTTTTATCAAAGGGTATATTTTAAAAACTATATGTTCTACTTAATGTTCCACTGATCGCTAAATTACTTTTTAAAATGACCCTAAAGGAATGATTAATCATGAATTAAGGCTGATTTCTTTGTTTCCTACTAAATATAGTTTTGCATAGAATCAATGTTGCACATTAGGTCTCAGTCAAGGCATGACGTATTTTCAGCTGATTAATGACATGTCTTAAAGCACCATAACTAATTTAGTGACAAAAACCAGTTACACATATGTCAAAGGCCTTATTTAGAGTTTGGTTTTCTAGAAATGTGTTTGATATAATCTTTGATAGCTAGCTGAACTTAATGGCTTCGTTTTATGGGTTTAAATTGGAATGCAACTTATCTGTTGTATACGGTGGCCCTGAAGTGCAAACTGCAACTACAAATCTAAAAGCGCAACTACATTAAGGAAAACACAATTACATTAACCTACCGGAAAAGCTGGTACCAGTGGGAAACATGAGACATTGCTGATTGGACGACGGCGCCGTTTGACCCTTGAACCGGAAGTCATTCTGCCTGCTGCGGCTTTTGAAAACATGGATATTGTCGGCGCCCCAAACATAGCTGCCGTTATCCAGGAATAGGACATACGTACGAGGTGATACTGGATATGCTCAAGACGAATCACGAAATTTCAGTTAGTATCCATGCTTTATGTAGTTTTGTTTTCCTTAATGTAGTTGCGCTTTTAGATTTGTAGTTGCAGTTTGCACTTCAGGGCCACCGTAGTTGTATGACTTAACTGAATGGAACATGTATTTTTTTCCATATAATTTATACTATTATTAATTATTTAAAAAAAAACACAAAAAAACAGTAACAATGAAAAAAATTATTTGAATGTTCCATAATAACCCCCAGGATGCCCCAGCTTGATTGAGTTGTTTAAACTGGAGTCTTGATAAATTAGTATTTGTGTTAATCGCTATTTAAAACTAAATCTCGGGTACGCTTGTGGTGTTGATGCAACTGCTGGTTTGGGCAGTGAACCATGCATATGTATCTTGCACAGCTTTTTTTAAATAAAACATAAAAGCCTATTTTTATGTACAGCTAGTGTTGTTTATACTTTAGTGTAGGAGATTGTGTTGCCCTTTAGAAAAATGCTGCACATGAAAACATTAGCAGCAGGAGGATGACTTGAAACCTGAGGCAGCCTGCCTTTGGTCAGCTGACCTGCAGTGCACAGCACTAGATGGGCGAGGTGCACGGCTGTGTAGCTTAGTGATCGCAGAGAGTGTATAAAAAGCTCTGATCACAGTAGCAATTTCTGTGGTCTCACAGACACAAAACTTCCAGCTTTTGAAACAGTGCTGTTTTAAAAAACATTTTGCATGTGCCTTTACTATATTTGGACTTTTTAACCTGAATAGAGCAATATCTACATGCCTAACATCTCTATTTAAAACTAACCTGGTTAATCTCCAAATATCCAGTGTTTCAAACTTAAGGTTTTGTTATGAGTGGTTTTGGGTCATAGGGTCATACCTTATGAAGAGGTTTCCTGTAAATGAAAAGATACAAGTTAATGTTTGTCCCTGCATTATAACAATAGCAGTTCCTGATCTGAATGCTCTTTATTTCTCTTTCACATGTTTAAACTTTCTTGTCTCTTGATGTTTGCCAGGGCTCGGGCCGTCATGGTGGTGTTTGTGGTTTGGGCAGTGGCCTCACTCATCTCTTTCTTGCCCATCTATCTCAAGCTCTGGGTGTCAGATAAACCCCGGGCTATAGAATGCCGATTAAGCGAGACCTGCTGTGAATTCAACACCAACCAAGGATATGCAGTATCTTCTTCGATAGTGTCTTTCTATCTGCCTCTGGTGGTGATGATTTTCCTCTACACCCGTGTATTCCAAGAGGCTCAAAAGCAGCTGGAAAAAATCAGAGGAAGGGAGCGGCACTTCTTCCACCTGCATAAATCTGCACAACGGACTTATCCAGATGACAGCCCCTCACTGAATAAACTCAGGACAGGAGCAGATGGAGAGGACAGACTAAACATGCAGCAAACAGAGGACTCAGATAGTAGGCAAGAAGAAAAGGGGGAAGAAAACAGAGGGAAGATGGAAAAAGAAGGAAAGCAGTCTGCTGCTAAGCGTCTCAGGATTTGTCTTTCGCAGCACAAGGCTGTGAAAACTTTGGGGATCATCATGGGAACTTTCACATTATGTTGGCTACCTTTCTTCATCCTTAATATTGTCATAGCTTTTGTGGATCTCAGTGGCAACAGGGACCTTTTCAGATTCCTTAATTGGCTGGGTTATTCCAACTCAGCCTTCAACCCCCTCATCTACTGCCGCAGTCCGGATTTCTGGCACGCCTTTCAGGAGATACTTCATTTAAGGGGAGGGAACTCAAGATGGAAGGGGGCATTTGGATGGTGCAGTGACAGACACGGTTACTCTAAGTCGCCACGGAGGCAGAACGGAGACTCGAACTTTGATCGTGTGAGGGGTCTGAGCAGTCGGGAGAAATCCGGCTGGAGAGGAAGTCTGGAGAGCTCAATACGAGGCAGCTCACTGACCCTCGCTCTACAAGCATCGGGTTCTGAGCAGGTTCTAGATGTAGCTCCGGGTTCTCTGAGCAGCTGGCAGCAAAACAGCTCTGACAGTAGGACTTGTAGAGAAAATATTGCTTCTATTGCTTGACCAAAACTATGTATGAAACATTGCACCCCTAAATTATATTCAAACAGCATTTGCTGAATTGTTTGTGTGACAGACTGACTTAAGCTTCTGGTCTATGAAGTAGCCAGAAAATGTAAGGTTACATTTGCTCAGTGTTTTTGTGGTTATTCAAGGTTTCCTGTTCTTTTCTACAATCGTTTTTCAATTGTATTTAATAGACTAAAATAAATAAAAAAGCAATCTGAGGAAAAATTTGGCATTAATAAATTCACACAAAGCATTTATTATTTTAATATTCAAAAATACATATGATATAAATATGCAACTTGTCAAAATGTTTTCTTATATTTCTGTGCAAATTGTGACTTGAACAATAGAAAAATAGGAAATATTGTAATATTAGACTTGTTGTAAAACAATGGAGGAGTATTGCATTCATCAAGAAACAAAAAGATACTGGTCTGTTTTTCTGAATAAAAAATATATTTTTTCTGAATTTAAATTAAATAAATAAATAAAGATATTCTGTTTGTGTGGATTAACAGATAGTTTTTACAAAAACAAATAAAACCACTTTTTTTTACTGAATTAATGAAATAATGCTGCTGGGATTCTATAGAGGAGAAGCTACAATGTTTGCTGAGTTGAATTCATCTTTATGTTCTTTTGGGATTGAAGCCCTGGGAAATTGTTTTTTTTCTCTTAGTTATGAAGACTTTGCAAAGACACCTGCTTGCTGGCCGCTACTCATTGCAGTTTATCATGTAATTCTGAAAAACAGGACTTTTTAAAATTTATTTTATTTAAAATGATCTTGTTAATTCAGAAAAAACATCCCGGTTTCTTTTTTTTTTTCAGGTGAATGCAATCTGTTTCCAAATTTAAAAACAGTCTATTTCAGCCCAAACAAAACTTAAGATGTAGTCCATAATTTTAAATGATTAAAATACGTTAATAAATGCTTAAATGTAACATTTGACACAGCTCTACGACATAGAGAAGACAATCTGTCATAATTATTAATTTAACTAATTATGACAGTTCCTTATGGGTAAAAAAAAAAATCCTAGACAAATGTTTGCATCATCAACCAAACGATTTGCATGTTTACCTTGAGGGAGCTTTCATTGGATGATTATGAAGCACCTGTCTGGGTGAAAATGCCCGTCAGTTGGCCGGTATGTGTGCAATAAAGAAACCAAAACATGGACCGATTATTAATTCTGCTTTTTCTGTCCTTGTTTAACAAAAGTTATGGACCACAGCTTTAAGTCTAGTGCTGCAAAGAGATCAATCTGAATCTAAAAGAAATGAAGGCTAAAAACCTGTCTTAAGTTTACAAAATAATTCATATTAATTGAATATTCTCTAAATTCCTAATATATTTCAGTATTCTATCAACCCTTAAGGTTATGAATGGTACTAAATTTGTGATCTATCTCTTTAGAAGATATACTTTCTATGGTTATTTAAGACCAAAAGATATTATCTAAAATGGAGGACTTCATTGTTCATTGCCTTGCCAAAATATTGAGTCTTGAAAATGGTAAAAGTTGGTTATATAACCACAAACTTCAGGGTGTTTCATAAATAAAACACATTGTTGTGCCTAAATATAAAATGGGAGGTTTATTTTTTTAAGGAATAAAACCTGAAATATGTTTAGCGGATTTGTAGGTAACCCCCTTTATTTTGATGCTCTTAAACAAAAACGTGAAGAGTTGGGAAAGAGAAACATCTGAAACCGAGCTGCGGCCCCATTATGCAACCTTCTTTCTGGTTATGCCTTGATAGCCAATTTAAAAAAAAGTCTGTATCCCTTCACTGTAGCTGACCTATGCAAGCAAACCAACATCAAATACATTTCACTGACAGCCAAAGGTGTTAGAGAGACTGGGATACAGCTTTATTGGTAATATTAGGCATTATGAAGATAAATGGACAACAGCAGTGGGCATAATACAAACCATAACCTAACTAATTATTATCACGTTCTGAAAAAACAGGAAAACATACAGCAAAATCAACAGGGAGACACTCGGATAATTAAGACAAAACACTCTCTAAATAATGAAGGGACTTCTGGAAATAAACCAGACAATGTATTTATTTAACATTAAATAAAGGGTTATTAGGATACTTTAAATACCAATTATAGTATATATATATAAGTGTATATACATATATATATATATATATATATATATATATATATATATATATATATATATATATATACGTATATATATATATACATATATATATATATATATACGTATATATGTATATATACGTATTTTTTTGTTTAGATTGATATAACAAACCTTCTTAGATTACAGACATTATAGATAATCCAGACTTGTGTCCCAAATGTTTAAAATCTTCCCAAATTAGTGTAACAAAAAAAAATACAGTGATTGCTAGTTGTACTTACTTGTCTTTTAAAAGCAAACATATTTTAAGTAAAATCTCATTCTTCTAAAAGGTGAGTTCATCAGAAAAATAGTTTGAGTTCTGACAAAATCTTCTATTTCTGCCATGTGCTGGTGTGTTCTTTTCCTTTAAACCATAAAAAACTAAAGAGGTATTTACTGACTATAATTACTTTTATTTTTAATGCACAGGAGATGCGTAATGGTCAAACAAAACACATTGATAAAAAATAGTCCAAAATTCTAAATTTAATTTAAATAATGGATAATTTTAGTGATTTTACAAAATGACCCGGTTCCATTCAGTAACATCCTGCCTGGCTTTACATATGAATAAACCGGTGATTTTTTGGTAACAAATTTGTAAACAAATCAAATTGTTTTGGTAATTATAGTAAATTATAGCAAATTTCTCCATGAAGTACAGATGAAGTTGACGGTCCAGTGCTTCTATAGAGATGATATAACAATACAAATTATTTTAGAGCTTTAGGGAAAGCAGCTGGTGCTTTAAAGAAGGATTAGGATAATGTGCAAGTTACTTATCATAGTGTTTGTTGACATTTCAAGCCCTAATTTATGATGAAGCAATATCATAAACCATGGTTATGGCAGATTTTATTTAATTAAATATGGTGATATCAGGATGTATTGAACTATGTCTACTTTTCTTGATATTTCATTGGACATAGTTGATTAAAAAGGTTTTGTGCACAATAAAGATTCAAAGAGAATTACCCAGTGTATGCATTTTAATGCATAATGAGGCATCAACACAAGCTTTTTTAATAACTGTCTAAAACCTGGTTGTTCTGATTGTTAATTTACAGGGGTTTATTGTTTCCAGTGCATTAATAGCATCTTTATGTAGATGTGGTTGAAGTATGATCAGATTTGATTTCCAGATTAACTAACATTCTAAAAAATACAATTATCCTTTGATAGTTCATTATCAAACCATAGAAATAACTGTAAAACTGCAGATAACCTTAAAAAAAATCTTAATAAATAATAATCTTATCTTTTCAGCAGCAAATGATGATCTTAGAGCTAAATTTATGCCACATGTTTCTATTTTTATTGATTTCCTATGGAAAAGTAAAGCACTAGTAGTTGGCATACCCAAATAAAGACGAGCATGAAAGTCTTAAAATAAATTGCATAAAGGGATTCAAAGCTTGTCATGTTGACTACAGTTTTAGTTCTTTTAAACTTTCTAATGAACGCTCTGACTCTATGGACAATTTATTGGTTTGAAGACCGATCTATGATGAACAAGAGAAAATGTCAAGGGCTACGCAAATTTGCTAAGAGAAACGGGTTTCTGTGTAATGTGCTATTTTACAGTGTTTATTATTAGACGTTTTCCTTATGTAACCTGGAATGTCTGTCATTTTCCCATCTTGAGGAATAACTAAAACCAGCAGGTTATAGGATTCCATCATATCTATATCCCAGGGGAACAGAACTAATAGACAATAAAATGAAAATTTAAAGAAACTCTGACAGACATATAAGCTGTAAAATGCTGTAAATCAAATTGATAGGATTTTTTTTTTTTTGGCTATCAATAAATGTGATCTCTAAAATGTGGGATATTTTCCTATAATTCACCTTTACTAAATATAAATGGACAATAAATGTTCAGGGTGCAATATATTCGGTAAATCATTTTCTCCCAAAATTCAAACATTTTAGACCAAAAAGCATAAAGACTGCAGCTATTAGGCTAAAACGCTTTGTCCATTTGTAACAACCCTCACACATTAAGACAAAAAGCCCATTCAACAGAAAAAAATTGTCTTCCGTCACCCTGAAGCTGAAAGTCTAACAGACAAGGAGCTGTGAGCTCTACTTGTGATAGATTATGAATAACAGCCCCCTTATTCTGAACCAATAAAAGTTTGTGACGGTATTTTTGGGTATGATATAACGTCTTCGGCCCTAACTGCTGACTATCAGATGATTTCTTTCTCCTCCCTGGATTCACTTTCTATCATCGCTTAATTCACTGGATCTATTTTCTGCTTCTGCAAACATCGCTGTGAAGCCACACTTTCCTTTCGTTCTGCCCTCTTTAGCTGTACAAACACAGCAGCATTTCAGACAGAGCCGAGGAGATTGTAATCACATAGTTGGGCCCACTGTTTGGATAACATTGTCTGTTAGGCTCACTCTACAAACACAGTGGTCGGTTTACACATGTTTAAGTGCTTACATAAAATGAAACAATCTGAGCAGAAGCTCGCTTGATATGGAAATGTGAAGAACTTGTTTTCTTGTTGTTCTACTCTCTATACGGTTTTGATTTAATTGGCCCTGTGTTCTGCATTGGCAAAAATTTCCAGGCAAACAGTTTTTATATTTGGAATAAATGTAGCCTTTTTTTTTTTTTTTTTATAACAATACAGCTAAAATTGCATTTTACTGAAGAGGATTAGGGCCACTGAAAAAAAAAAAAAAAAAGTTAACTGATTTTTAAATTTTATTTCAATCTGAAAAACTCACACAGAGAGAAAAGATAATTAGAAGAATTTATTGATAAGAAAGTATAGTCTTTGGCGCTCAGACCTCGGCAGGAACATTCATGCTGAATTATGCTTTAACATGCATGAGTAGATGAATGTGAATAGGGATGTTCCCCTCGGGCCTGAAACTGGTGGTGGTTTAATCCGAGCTGGTTGACAAGGTGATCTGCTGGGCAGAATTGTGGGACTAGAAGACTGAGGGAGCTGACGCCGGGGCTTCACTCAGACTCGGGATATAGAGGTCCTGCTCGGTGATGCAGGCACCGTGAAGTGTCCATGATGAGCAAGCATGAAGCGACAGTGGAGAGGAAAAACTCCCCTTTGGGAAGAAACCTCTGGCAGAACCGGGCTCAACATGGTGGTCTTCTGCCGGACCAATGCGATGAGGCGAGGGATGGTGACAACTGGGATTAATACTCTCTGATGAGGTTGAGGTGAAGTCGTGTCATGGAGGACGATTCAGCTGCGATGGCGGAGAAGGGGATGGAGGTGGGTGAATTGTCGTCTGAATCGGAATCCGACAGCGATTGCAGGATAGCAGCTGTGGTGTGATTTGAGGGAGTTTATAAAGTGGAAGC